GTCTTGCTTTATGTACAGCAACTGTAATGTTCGTACTAAGTCAAGATCGTTTAGCTATGGATTTAGATCGCGATTGTTTAGAGCTAATGTTAAGTTTATTAGAATCTGATGCCAGTCACAAAGATGCACTTGACGATTGTGGCCTTAGCCGGGCAGAATTATTAAAAAATAAAGAAAAAGTGCGCCAGCTGTGCGCCGATATTCAAGCTCAAGGACACGCAAAACATTTGAATCTTGATAATATCACCGTAAGTATTTTACGAACACCAGGAAGTAAATTGATTTAATAATGATTAAATATACATGGTAAAATTTGTAACCAGGTTGGTCAACTCGCTATGGAGACACTCCTTAGTCTTACTTCAAAACGTGCTGGTGAATGGTTTAAGGAGGAACTTAGAGAATTAGGAGGCTTAGAACATATTGTAAAAACGATCAGAGATTGTCATCGTCATATTAACACCCAGGAAATTACGAAATCTGGATGGACAGATCCATTATTAGACAAATTACGCAAAGTTGATAGATGCCTCCGTGTATTAGAAAATGTAAGACACATCTTCATATAGTAATAGTAATACTTAATTTATTTTCTTATCGTTTATATCGTATGCTTCAGGTTACTCATATGAATGAAGAGAATCAAGTATATTTATTAAAATATGAGAACGAAGTCTTAGTTAACACTTTAGCAAATTTATATCATCTCTGCGGACAAGAAATTCCAGTTTACCCAACTATTGATTCAAGTGATAAGACATCCACTGGTGCTGTTATTAGAGAATGTTTGTTCGCTATTATTAAAGTCCTTATCAATCTCACGCATCGATTTAATAGACAATGTAAGTCTTATAGTTGGAAGAGTATTTAAGGACTTACACTCAAGACACACGATATTATGTTCCATATTTTTTTCAGCTTTCGGAAGTAGGACTCTGGGCTCGCAACCAGGTGTTTTAGATTGCACCCTAAACCTTTTGTTGCGCGTCCCCGAATCGCTCCCAGAGGAGAAGCGTTTTGATATGATGATGCTGGCTCTCATCTTATTGATTAATTTAGTCGAGCAATGCGACGATAACAAGCAACTTCTAATTGAATCTAAAGCTCCTCCGTCGCCAGAAAATATTTTTGATGGTATGCATATACGTATTATTGTTACTCTAGTATTGATTTAAATTTAACATATCTTATCTTTGTTTGCTGGATCAGCTGAGGAAAGTGGAGTCGAATGTTTAATCGACTTATTTTATAAGCAAGAGGAATTAGCTCGCGCTGAAGAACAAAAAACCGACGCTATTTTAGACGGTAAAAAGGATTCCGAACAAACAGAAACTGTATCGACTACGACTAAAACTCAAGAAGAATTTATTGAAGAAACTGTTACAAAATGTTTGTACACTCATAGAATTTTGGCTACAATAATGATAACTGAATGAAACATAATAACAAAAATGCTATTCTTTTTATAGTATTACAAAAAGCGGGATGTCATATGGAACATACCTTGATAGGAGCATACGTAGTTCTTTTACTTGGTTACTTAATAATGGATAATAAGGTAATATATTTAAAAAAAGGAGTATGAAAACAATATTATGACTAAGAAAATAATGCCATACATATATTTATCTAGGATTATGAATCGTTGGTACGCAGCAGACTTCCGGACAACAATTTTTCTACTATGGTATCTGTACTTCAGAAGTTCTTCAATTTTATGAATTTAACGGCATCGGTACGTATATTTAATTTTCCTTCTTCATCGGTATTAAGTTTTTTATTGTCTCACAAGAATGATCGTTTTGTTTTTAGAATGAAGTAAGCAGCTGTGGAATAGCTGCTACTGAAAAGGTGATTAAGTTCCTAAAAATGTCCGATGCCCGCGTCAAAGAAGAGAAAAGCGAATTACCATTGTCAGCGTTAGAAGATCCGAACATAATGCTCCATTTATCTTCGTCTTGATTGATATCACATTTACACATTTGATATTTTTTATTACCCTGGCATGCAAGAAGAGCCAAAGTTATATATGTCCAACGAAGCAAATTCTACCTATTACAGCATGAACGGACTTGTTTCATATTGACTATATATTTTGATATATATTTATTCACTTACGTAATTTATTGCTGTACCATCTATTAAATTGACTTACTTTTTCCCAATTACAGTAACATGCTAGATATTAAGCAAAGTATAAGTTAATTATCCAGAAGTTAATAAGATGAAGAAGCACGCCTTGTAATTACGCACTTCAATGGCATGTACATGTAATATTAATTTTAATTTACGTGATTCGCCAATCAGTAAGTTTTCTTTTTTAGTTTTCCGAACTGTCAAGAAGAGTGATAAATTGTAAACTTCTTGCCAGATTATAATTCGTTCGCTGTACGATAATGCATAAAGTTTTAAACATTACCATTACCTACAAATTTATTTTACTTTTTAACTATGTTCAAACGATTGGCGGTGTTGGGGTTTTTCAGGACCCATTTCAAATTTGAGATGGCATTACTCTGTAAGTTTATTTTAATATTAAAATGATACTATAAGCCTTGTAAATGTAAATTTATAAATTATAATTGTATCTTAAATTCTCAGTTTCATGTTATTGGATCCCATTTAAGGAATTTAGGATTCCATGAACCTTTAATAAAATATTTTACTTAACAATTAAAAACAAAGTAAGAGATATATAACATTGTTATGACACATGTAATAAACTAGCTTCAGAAAGTATGACTGTAAAATAAACCATTTTCTAAATAAAGATCACTTACTTTTCTTTGAGAGAAATCAGTAAGTAATTATTTACCGTAAAATAAATATAAACGCATTTAATTCTTAAACACAAGATACACTGAATATTATATTAAAGTATTCTATTTCCTTGAACATTCTGCCTATTATTTAATGCAATCTTTTCTTGGCGTTTCTTTTCTTCCTTAAATGCCTGGCTATTCGCTTTCCGCTCTAGTCTCCTTTCCTAATAACAAAAATAGTTATATTGGTATTTATTATTATTGCATTCGTACACGTTTAATTAAAAAATCTTTCTATCTATATTCAATCTTACTTGTCTATATTCTTTAAGCGCTTTTTTCCTTTCCTTCCTCTCTTCCGGAGTTTCACCTTTTGGTCGTATACTTAATATACTCAAAGTAGATTTCATAGTTTCCGCAATAGATCGAAGTCCCTTCGGCTTTGAATCCTCATTCTGTTGATCAAACTCAGCCAACGTCTTCGCAGTTAATTTTCCAGCAGGATTCTCCAAAACATTTTTTGGTATGCCTGTTCTAGAATAAACTTTGATCTTCTGTGGATTCTACAAAAATTGCTGTTATAATTCTGATCCAATAAAAATGGAAATACAAATAATAATTATTTTTAAACACCACACCTTAGGTTCAGAGATTAATTTTGGATGATTGTAAATATTACTATATGTACTAATGATACTGTTACAATCCCATTTATCCTTTTCCCTTGCATCAACAACAAGATCCTCTAAGTCGTTTTCATCTTCCGAACTGGAATACTCCTTCTCCAGAATTTTCATTCTATCCTTCATCAACTCCGCAACATTGTCAGCCTATTAGAAAAATAAATTAATGCTTAATCCCTTTAAACAGACATCATTTAAGGATGTATTGGCTATAAAGTCAATCCCAAAAGTTTATGTACCTTAGAAAAACGCATTTCCTATGATTAAAAAGAAATGAGACGTCGGAAGAACAATGCTAATAATAAAT